TTTTATTTTAAATAAAGTATTCAAAGTTTTCTTTTCAATTTTATCTCTATTACAATTTTATGACTTATTTAACAAAATTTAGTAATTACACTTCCTACCTTTTTATCAATTGAGTTGGATTAAGATTAAATATGAAATTTTAATGTGTTTTTATGAAATTTGATCATTATTTTAAAGGTAATAGAAAAAATTAGGATGGTTTTTTATTAAAAAAATATGATTGTTAAATTTATTTGAACAGTGTATATTTTACTTTAAAAAATAATTCAAATTTAAAAATTAATATTAACATTCTATCATACTTTAAAAATAATACTTCAATAAAAAACTGTTCTAATGTCACCAATTTCTTTAAAATAAAAATTTTGAATAATAATTTGCTTCAATTTTTTAAAATTCTAATTAAGTTTAACTAAAAAATATTAAGTAGCAATTGCACTTTCAAAACTTATGGAGTAGAAAAGGATTCAGGAATCAGGATATACTCATTTCCATAACCAAACATGCGCGAATATTCTCAGCCATCAATCTAACCCTAGTCAACGAATCCACCGCCCCTCCATCCCGCCCAAAACTAACCCTAGTTAGGTGGCACCCTTCTATAAAACCATGGTTTAGCCCCATCTGTTCTACCATTCCCGTTTTCCTTTGTTGTGCTGATTATCATCTTCCGTTCTTAGGTTCTGTTACGATGGCCTCCGCTGAAGTTGAGTACAGGTGCTTCGTTGGAGGGCTTGCCTGGGCCACCGACGATCAGTCTCTTGAAAGGGCCTTCAGCCAGTTTGGCGAGATCATTGAATCGAAGGTCTGTTTGTCGCAGAGATAGGACCTCAGATCTGATCCGATCCGACCTGATCTGGCTCTGTTTATGATCTGTGATCCCTGATCTGCTGTGTTTGTGTTACTTGTTACTTGATACTTGTGTTACTGTTCTTTTAATCTCTAACTGGTACGTTCTATCTTCATCCTCTGGACGGAGATCGATCGATATGTTTTTCATGATTCTCGATCTGTTTTTCGAGTTCTGACGTTGTGTTGATTTTTTTTTTTTTTTTGGTGTTATCGTTTAGATCATCAACGATCGGGAGACTGGAAGATCCAGAGGTTTCGGATTCGTGACTTTCCGTGATGAGAAGTCCATGCTGGATGCTATTGAAGGCATGAACGGTCAGAATCTCGACGGAAGGAATATTACCGTCAACCAGGCTCAGTCCCGCGGTAGCGGCGGAGGCGGCGGCGGCGGTGGTGGATTCAGCCGTGGAGGCGGTGGTGGCTATGGACGCCGCGAGGGCGGTGGCTATGGTGGTGGTGGTCGCCGCGAGGGAGGTGGATATGGAAGTGGAGGATATGGCGGTGGTGGTGGTGGTTACGGTGGTGGCCGCCGTGACTATGGTGGTGGTGATGGTGGATCTCGTTACTCCAGGGGTGGCGGTGCATCCGATGGCAGCTGGAGGAACTAGATTTAAGGTTGTGACGAATAGGTGCTGCATTATGGTTGTTGCTTTGGTTTGTTGATGTATGGGTTCTGTGTTATGGTTTCCATGTTCGGTGTTCTCTATTTTTGACCGTGGTTATGAAATTTTCTCTTACCTTAAAGAGGAAATTCAGTGAATTACAGTTCTTCTCTAAACCTCCCTTAGCGATTGATGCTCCTTAAATTTTTCGAATGGGAATATTATAAAGTGAATTTTATAATCCAAAAATGGGAAATTTTAAAATGAGAAAAATAGGAAACTTCAAAGAAGGTGGATTCCAAGATCTGAGCCGATAAGCCGATAATGTGATAATGCATCTAGTGTGTAATTCCCAAATCATCTAAGCTTGTGTCCCTGTCCCAGGCCCAGGCCCAGTGAACCTATTAGCGTGTGGGGACACCGGCTGGGAGACTGCTTTCGAGTACGTACGAACCAAGTAAATAAGTTTTTAAAGGGATTATAGGCAGCACGGTTTGGAAACAAACTTGATCCCCTGTTATGCTGAGACAACAATGGTTTGCCAAGTATTGGAAGACAATTTTTCTCTTGTTAAGGTAATTGACATGATGAAAGATATATACAAAGAGTTGAGAATCAATTTCAAGTTTGATAAATTTAACGGTGCAAGGAGAATGATAATGAAAGAGTTAAAAATGAGAATTTTAAAGATTGAGTATGCTATGTTTACAGGGTATGCTGCTTATCTTTCAAGTTTGAATCCTGAAAACAAAGTACAAGTGGTTTTTGAACATCCTGATGATTCTCCTGTTTTCAGTGGAAAAACAGTTGGGGCGGATGGCTACGTCTTGAAAGGAGTGTGTACAGGAATTCTGTTGTCTGCAGTCGACCGTCATGGCAATAATCAAATGTAGGCAGTTGTTGAGACGGAATCAAATTCATCATGGGAATGGTTTTTTGGGTTGTTGAGGACTGACTAGGAATTGAGCAGTGGCAAAGTTTTCCCATCAATCTCGGATCAACGTGTGGTAAGGACCTTCAGTTTGTCATTTTATGCTGTTTTTTGGTCAATGGTCAATAAATATTTTGAGTCT